TATTAATGCCCATGGCTTTGGAAAGGGATGTCCAACAGGTTCATGTAGGTGTGGTGAGGTGTCTACAAACATTTGCTCATATAGTGTTAGATATGACCTGACTCATATTAAAAAGGTGAATTATCCCCAACGTACCCCTAATCTCTATAATGTCTCTCTCTTGGCTATCATATTACAGACCACTAGAAAGGCTTGTAAGGTAGGATGGGCAGAGCCAAACTCAACTTTTATAGCAAGGATTTGAGATTTACACAGACCCTGAGTAGGCTAGATCTCTGGATTGATCAACAGTTTGTGTTGATGATAAACTTTGCTTATATACAATATTTTATCTTTATACACTGAGGTTGAATCATTCAGGTATATGACAGGTTTACTTTTAGCAAGCCTTCTGGTTTGTCCATGCCAGTATATAGCTACTGGTTGCTAAAACAAAGATTACCTTAATCGTAATACTAAACTGATAACTTTTGCTTCTTCGGACGTGGGAGGCACAGGAGCTGTAGCCTGCAGAGGAAAAACAAAACACTAACTACAAAAAAGAAAAGTTACAATGCACAAAGCAAGCGAAATGTAAGGTGAACTGCAAAAATACAGCTGAAATTCATATGCGAGAGCCGTTATACCTGCCAAAGGATTTGCATTTTTGTCCACCCACTGCAGTTTCACTTTTACTTACAGGTCCCCTCCCCAAACCGCTGCCCTGTGACCGGACAGTAAAAGGAGCAGCAGCACACCAATAAGCTCATCTCTCTGTTACTCTGCTCTGTTTTTTCTATCAGCATGCTCCTTGTACTGTAGAACACCTGATTGGCCAACTGTGCTAATACTGCCTCCGAATCTCTGAACTCTGCTAGTGCAGAGAACTTACAGACAGACAATACCATACAAAAGGATTAGGAGGACCTTGCTCGTGAGAGCCAACAATGTACACAAACCATTAAAACCACACTTGCCAGTTATTGCACCCAGAGGAGCTTTCAATCGAATATCCCTCCGTGAATCATAATAGCACACAAACACACATACTCAAGGGGTAAGGCCCGGTTCACACCTGGGCGTTTTGTAGCGCATTCGAACACTCTGCAAAACACTCAAACACCGAAATCCCATTATTTCCTATGGGTATGGTTCACACCTGAGCGTATTACAGGCCGTATGAGCGCTACAAAACGTCCTACGCCCAAAGAAGTACAGGAGCTTCTTTGGGGCGATTTTGTCGCACGTTTCCATTGGGATACAGCCAAGTAGCCCTCGGAAACACGTGTTTGGCATGCGGTTTTTTTTAACCACGAAGGGCGGTAAAAACGCGCAACACGAAACGCGCATATTCGATATGCCTAGGTGTGAACCCAGCTTAATATGTTTCAAAGCCAGTTAACCTTCCAGAGTGCTCCCCTCTTCCCTTCGCTGCTCCAGCTGTGGTATGTCACTCAGTGTCCCTACGTTTAATGTAGGTGAATGGACCTGCATTAGACGTGATGACCACTGCAGGGCATAGAGAGCTGGAACACAGGGGAGAAAAGGCTGTGATGACCAGTCTAGCAGCCAGGGGGGACTGAGAATCAGGTGAGTAAAAAAAGCCAGCAGGTGGAACTCTAATCTTTCTTTTACCTAACTAGATCTGCTTCACACAGACACACACAGACAAACACTCCACTATGGGATTCATGAATAAAAATTATGCCATGAACACAACATTGCCACCTCTACAATTGAAAAAAATTAAACTGATCAAAAAATCGTTTCCCTGTAAGTGTGCACAATAGTCTCTAGGGCTGCAACAACTAATCGACATAATCGATTATAATCGATTATTGAAAAAGTTGTCAACTTTTTCAATACTCGGTAAGTCTGTTTTTATGGCGATTTCAGCTCAAAAGAAAAACTTCCTTTTACTTGCTACCTTGTATAATTAATTATTTCAAATTTACCTGTCCAGTTGTTGGCACAGGAACAGACACTTGTGAAGGCGGAGCTTGGCCAGTCGACTGAGGTAGATTGGCTGAGGGCTGTGATGGAGTCTGGAGAAAGGCTGAGCCTGGCTCGGTCGCGGGAAACTGCTAGAGACAATTAAAGGGAGATGTAAAGAAGTATTATTAACTTTCTAATTGCACAATTATACTAAACCAACATGGGTGTTGACTTCCTTTGAGTCCAACTAAGTTGCTTTTTAAAAGGGTGCAATCAATCCATTAAACAAATTACTATATTTATAGCCCTCATTATTAAAGTGTGATATATTTGACATACCATTAGTGTTGTACACAAAGCATTAAAACCACACTTATTAGCCATTGCACCCGGAGGAGCTTACAATCAAATATCCCTCACTGAATCATAATAGCATGCAAACTCAACAGGCAATATGTTTCAAAGCCAGTTAACCTTCCGGAATGTTTTTTGGGTTGCAGGAGCTAACCAGAGCACCAGGAAGAAACCTGGGATTAACACAAACTGCACTAAAATATCAAGGACTATGAATCTAGGATCCAAGCACAGTGGCTCTTGATATAAACCTGTCATTGGAAAATGGTGAAGTACACGTTTGGCGCTGGATACAAAGAAGATTGGTCGAAATGTGATAAAACACAATGGCTTTGGTGACGCTTTTCTCACCAAAATGGGTCCCACATACAATGGAACCCAGGGTTGAACAAATAAGCATATTTACAATCCAATGAGAGCACAAAACAAGACAGAATGAGAGTCCTAATATGTTTAATAATGAAACGGGCAGGGCCCGTGCTGGCACTAGGCAAACTAGGCAGCCTCAACTACTCACCACCACACTGTGCCCCCCCATTTATTTCAAATGGCAAAAGCCAATAGCAGGCTGGCTATCACACGCACCCACTGAGCAGAGGAGTAGAACTGAGCAAAGACTACTCTATCTCAGATGCGCTCCTTTGCTCAGTGGGTGGGGTTTCAATAGCCAACCTGCTGTTGGGTATTTCAAATTAAAATGGCTAATAGCAGTCTGGCTTTTGCTCCTGGCTGTTTACATCCACTAATCACCTGCAGAAGTTAGCTGGCAGGAGAATGGGGCTGTGCGGGGGGTGCGGATTGGAGGTTGCACCATGGTAGGGGGGCTGCTTACAGCTGGTCTTGCCTAGGGTGCAAAATAGTGTAGCACCGGCCCTGGGAACGGGTTCATATACTACAACACAGAACCGCCAACATATACTGGGGGTTCAACGACCTCCCCCCTTTCTTCAGGACTTAGGCATGATGGGACCACATACACCAGGGAGTAATTGCTTGCTGTATAGGGTATATCCAACTTCAGTGCATTAGCAGAACTGTCCCGTTTGGCTCTCTCATTGGCCTGTATATATTAGAAAATGTAGGGACTGCTATTGCAGACCTTTCTGAAAATACCAGCTCACTGGCTAGAAAAATCCTTATATGCATATTTCTTCAAGGTCAGTTCTGACACTACTGGTTTCTTGTAAATAGCTTTTAGCTGCATGATATTATATATCAACTATCATTTTAAAGTAAACCCCGCTGTACTTTTACATACTATTTTGTATAGATTGTTACAACTATCAATAAAATCCTATAGTCATTACCTGCACACAGCTAGGTATGCCCCACGTGACAGTGCTCAGGTCTGATTACTGGATGTTAAGGCACTGAGCACTGCATTGTGGGAGGGCAAATATAGAGCAGGGCTGGGTAACTCTGGCCCTCCCGCTATTGTGGAACTACAAGCCCCACGAGGCATTGCAAAACAGAGAGTTAAAAGCATGACTCCCAGAGGCATGTTGGGATTTGTAGTTAAAGCACAGCTGGGGGGGGACCAGAGTTGCCTACCCCTGGATTAGGAGGATACCTAGCACAGGGTGGGTACTGGTTTTGGAGTTTTTCTTTTAATGGGTCTACTTTAAGGGGAATCTTCCATTTTAGACATTTTTCTGAAATCTTGTTTTTGAGAATTCTAATCCTCCAGCTCTCATGCTGATGCTTTAGCTTCAATGCAGTGTGAGAATTCTGACACCCTTTTACAGCATGCTTGCTCTCGGTCTATGACATTAAGTCAGATACATCCAGAATCTGGCAATGACACCCCCTGTACTTTTCTGACGGTCACTGTAAGTGAGCACAGAATTGCAAGAACATAAGGACAAGTGATGTATGTCAGTGTAAAATTAGGACATGTTCAAGCACTTATTTCTCCCATAATGCCATACAGAGAGATGTCTGCCCATCACAGCACAAGTGTGCCACTTGTCATTTTCAACTCCTCTCCATAGGTGTATGAAGGATCTGGCTTAACATGCAAAGAGAGTTACCAAGTTGGGAAATCTCCCCGTGTCCTTCCATTATGGGTGCTCAGACTGTCACAATGGCTCACTTCTTAAATCAGGAGTGTCAATTACTTTATCGGGGCTTTTGTGGTCATCCAAGGAGATACTGTATGGCTGTGTCTATGTGTACATATGACATATACTAAAGAAGAAGCAGATTTTTATATAATTATGTCAAGCATCTAACATAGCACTACTCACCTCAGAATTCTGGAGAGAATCTTTCACACGTGGAGACTGGAAGAAAAGCACACAAGATGTTTAGTAAGATGGAGCATTAGATATCAGTTAATGCAAACACCATTCATTCCATCACTGGGCAAACATTGACACAGACACATTAAAGTGAACCTATGCAGGACAAAACAGCAGGTTCACACAACTGCTGACCCCCTCACTCTCCAGTCACTCCATTCACAAAGAAGCCCATGTGTAACCTTTAGGTGTATCTGGTCAGAGCATATTCTGGGCTAATAACTTTTTTCTGTTAAAGTGTATGAAAATCAGAACAATGAAGTACTTATATTTATTTTGTTTTGTTATATCTGTTTGATAAGTGAAAATAAATACCTGTTGATCCTGCTAAAAATCCAGTGTTATCCTGTTCAATCTGCAGTGCTATCTCAAGCAGTGTCATCAGCCCTGCCCCGGGTACCTCTGTAAACTACAAACCACCTCCCCAGAATTTTCCTAGGGTGACAATACTGCTCCTCTGTAAATACTCAGTGAGTGAGCGTGGTCACCCTCAGGATAGGAAGCATGTTTCTAGCAAGATCACCAAGTAAAAGTAAAGGAAAAAGGATGAATAAAAAAACTAATGCAGCCACCATATCTAAAGACTGGAAATCTATTTTAGTTATTGGGTTTAGATACACTTTAGGTACTGTGCTGTATATTGTCATTTGTTTCCTCTGTGAATTTGTGCTGTTACAAGTCACTTAACAGAAACGTGGAAAAAAAAAAAGAACTTATAACTGAGTATATTGAAGTCATCGTGTTTGGGATTTGGGTCATCTACAAACAAGCTGAAAAAAATCTAGAAGTCAATTGTAAACACATATACGAGTCTGGTAGCAAAGCTTCAGAGATCGGAGACTTATTCCTAGAATTCAACAGTATCCTGTAAAATGAAGAAGTTGCCCAATTACCCTAAGTTGTAAAATAGCTGCTTTCCCCTCCTCGCTCTCCTCATCCAACTCATCGTCACTCCATTCCCAGCCTCCATCTTCGGTTTTATGAAGCCGACCACTTGATCCTGGCACTCTCCGAACCTGCCAATAAACCATTCCAGTTTCATTACAGAGACCATCCATCAATCAGTGTGCAATGTGTTGCTGGTAGGTCTCTTGTTATAGTGACCCCGTCAAGGGGAATGATAGGGATCCTATTGTGTCATACTTCCAATCATAATGGCAGAGTCTGGTTTCAATCAACAATGAGGTAAGCAAATCAAATATGGCAGCCCCCAGCAACATGGATGATTACAAAGTACATAGAGAAACAACAAATACAGCAACACACACTGATGTGATTGTTTATATGAAGTTGATCTCTTTCACATAAATATGTAAGAAACCATAAAAATACTTCAGGGGAATCTATATTCAACAAACAATAAAGGCTAAGTTCATCTTTTGGACCATGTTTCATGTTACACCCATATTTAGGGTATTACATGCAACATGTTGACACTGGGAACCCCCACAACCTTCCTCCCCTCCTACCTGAATCAAGGGGCTTTTTAGTATGTTGAATTTGGCGTGGCTCCACCCACCCAGCCATGTCATTGATTTACAGGTTCTGTCCTCACGGAATTTGTAGTTCACATCCCATCCATGTTATTGAATGCCCGTTCTGAGGAACAGATATGGATGGGAGGAACAGTCTACAGGAGCCAAAGTATTACACCTGCAATCTACTGATCAATGGTGCAGTGTTTTACTGGCTCCAATGCATAAAATAAATAAATGCACATTTTTGTTCTTTTTATGAAGTAGTGTACATGTATTATTTTTTCTCAAAAAGAAACTTTAAAAGAATATACCGTATATGTAAAAGAAATCAGCTTTAGTTATATCATCCTAACCATGTTTTAAAAACATTGCTTCCACATACAGTTTGTAACATGAAGGTTGCCATATTTGCTCCTTACATATGAAGACCCTGCATCCTGCATTGCAGTGCCACTATAGGTCTGCGACCTAACTGAATACAATATACTCCCTATGTGCCTGGTATCTTGTCTCAACAGCTGTTAAGCAGGGAGGATTAATGATAGCAAAATAAATGCATAACTAACTAGAGCTCTGTCTAGCGGAAAATCTATGTATCATTATATTTCTTACAAATCGGAAAAAGATGGAAGAACAAGCATTTAAAATGGGAACGTTCATCATAAATGACATTAAGGTAAACACTCCAATAATACATCAAAGTATCTGCTGACTGAATTATACTTTTGCTTTCAGGGTTTGTAGCAGGCTAGCTGATGCCAGCAACTGCTCCAATCTAACCCTTACAGAGATAAGTTGTCAGCCTGGTATTCATTGGGGATTCTATGAGATGTGACTGACCCATACAGCTTATCCATTCTCATGGCACACATCTCACCTTCTTGGCTCTCTCTGTGATGGTGGGGGCTCTCTGCATCAACTTCTCCTGTAAGAATTCTTTGTTCTGGAAATAGGAATGGAGGTATTAGTTTCCATCAGTCAGCAAAAGATAATAAAAAACAAGTGGACCATTGCATCAACATGGTTTATTATTAGAATTTTCACTCATCTTAAAGTGAGCTTCAAAAGAACCCAAACTAGCTCCTGCCTGGCTGAGTCAATAGGTCATACAATCTCAGCGTGTCCTGTACGTACCCAGGAAGTGCAGCAAGCATGATGCAATGCTTTGCGGTTTCATTCATTTTGAAGGACACTCAGAGGCATCTAGAGAATGCTTCTGCACTATAATGCACCCCAACATGGGACACGGCAATGAAAAACAAAACAGTAGCAATTTTTTCCTCATTGGTGGTCATTCGTAATGAATACACTGTGGTAATGTAGCCTACTGGCAACGCACAATATAGCATGTTGCAGTGCATTACAGCAACACACCATGGTATTATTATACAGGATTTATATAGCGCCAACAGTTTGCGCAGCACTTTACAATATAAGGAGGACATTACAATCACAATACAATTGAAGACAAGATGGTAAGGAGGGCCCTGCCCCTGAGGGCTTACAATGTAAAAGGGAGGGGGGAGTGAATGGTATGAATGGACCCTACTCATTTTGGATCACTTTCTGAAAATGAGAGGCTGATAATATCCAAATTAATTCATCTTCTATAGACCCCTGAAATGATCTATTGCCCTATGTCACTTGTTTGAAGTCATTAAAATGAATTGTTTCTGGGCCCACCCCCAACAATGCATCACCATAACAGACATGCAAAAAAAGGGAGGAAAATACTACAAACCCAAAGAAAAGGGTTCTTTTTTCTAAGTTGGAAAGAAAAAACAGTACTGCCATAGCTGATAACAGTACTGCCATTGTGCATTTCTCTGGCTTAAGTTATCAAGAAACTAAACACTGGATCAGCAACTAACACTTAAAAAGGATGCCAGCAACAACAGTAACAGCAATGTTGTGTTATAATTGACAGTGGCCAATCAGAAATCAGAATACATTTAGTGTAGACAAACTAAGGAGAGGTGATTTCTGATTGATTGCTATGGAAAGCTGGACAATGACTGCACCCTGTAATTAAGTGTCAAAAAACCCAGAATGCTTTCAGAATTGGTTGTATATACTGGCACTGGGTCTGACCGTCTTCCAGAAATAGCTGTAATAAATAGCTCTTCTTACATGAAAAGGAGGAAGCTGTGAGCTACATGACGTAATGGAATATATCTCAACCTGCTCACAGTTTACAGCAATTATCTCTTGATGTTTACAGCTAAAAGAGCCATAAAATATTCACCCTGGGATTTATCTCCCGATTTATCATCTGTATAAAAACAAATCTCATACCTTTGCTTTCTGGAAAAATTTGTGCTTCAAAAGTTCTGCTGCTGTTGGCCTGTAGGAATGAAGAGAAAAAAAATGAAAACTGCTACAATATGATAGCAAGGTATGCCAACTATATGACAGAATAAGCTGGATTCCCAGACATTGCCCAAATATACATAGAGTCCCCCCAAAAAATCCAAACAAGAAACTAGACTAGAGAGCAAGAAGCTTTCCTCCCTGAAGGCGCCACATGCAATGTATGATCCATGATATCAGTCTGACAACCCCTGCTGCATACCATAAATTGCTGAGTATTGGTCATGTATACTCTCTGTAACTAACTTTTGGGTATTCCATTGTATTTATATGGCTGCAATCTCCCACAGTTCTAAGAGATGTGGCCAAATATTTTGTGACAACACTGTTATAACGCCTCTAAACCGTTATGACCTTAACTATTGTTTGAATACCTATCCTGAAAAAAACCAAAATACTTTAGGGAAAAAAGCTGGATTAAGTATACATGTTGTCCAGGGTAAGGCAAAATATGAAACTTGAGGAACCCCCTCCCCAACCCCTCTAAAACCTCATTTGTTCCAGACCTGACCATTAGGGCTGATAAATAATCACACATCAAGCTGTTTCAATAGCCAAGGTGCGATTCCAAGTAATTCCTGAAGATGGTGCTGCAGTCAAAATCTGACATTGCTGCTTCTGCACTTGAATTACAGGTGAAACTCGAATAATTAGAATATCGTGCAAAAGTAATGGCAGTAATTGCTGCAAAAGGGGCCCAAACCAAGTACTGAGTACATATGCATGCTTATACTTTTCAGAGGTCCGATATTGTTCTATGTACAATCCTTGTTTTATTAATTGCATGTAATAATCTACTTTTTTGAGGTTGTGGATTTGGGGTTCTTGGGGTTTTCATGAGCTGTAAGCCATAATCATCACAATTATGACAAATCACGGCTTGAATTATCTTGCTTTGCATTTAATGAGTCTATCTCATATATTAGTTTCACCTTTTAAGTTGCATTAGTGAAATAAATGAACTTTGCACGATATTCTAATTATTTGAGTTTCACCTGTAGATGAGATGCAATAAGGCCGCCCTAGATGTACAGCCGCCACACTATTCATAAGGAACACAAGGTGCTGACAAGGCTCTGCACAGGAATTTTAAAATGCAGGTGGATTAAAAACAAAAAAACAAAAAGTACCCACGTCCCTTGTACATATCATTTTCAGTTTAGGGATTCTTAAAGGAGAATATTGGGGTCAGTGTTTTTCCCCATAGTTCTCCTTAGGGTAACGGGAGGACACAAACTAGCGTCCTCCCGTTACCCTAAGCTCAGTATACCGCGAGCTACAGCTCGCGGAATACTGAGACGCCGCAGCCGGAGCGGATCCCGACGTAGATGACGGGATCCTCCCAGCTGCGTGAGTGACAGCTGGCTCTGCCTATCTAGAGGCAGAGTCAACTGTACCCACCCCCTCCCCCGTCAGTTCCGCCAGTCAGCGCTGGCAGATTGGAGTGGGGAATCCAGCCCCTCCCCCTGTCACGGCAGAGAGCCGTGACAGGATCGAGAGGTGAGCGAACCTGGTATGTGTTCACTCACCTCCCGATCTACTGAGCCGACCTGTGACAGTCTCATTGTCACAGGTCGGCTAGAACTATGAGGTGAGTGGAAATCACTCATCTCATAGTTCTCCTTTAAAGTCCAACAGAACTTTTTAGTTTAAATACAATGCAGATGCATCAACACAAAAAGGTGAATTTGTTTTAGAAAGCAGCCACAGTGTAAAAAAACAAGTCTGTCCTCTGCAAGCATACTGCAGAAGAGGACCTTTTCTCTGTGTGGAATCAAAGGTCTCTCTGCATATTTCCAACACATCCTTGGCTGAGTCAGAGCTAGAGCTCTCCAATCAGCAGGGAGCATGAGCTTTGCGGATTGAAGAGCTGTGGGTCTGGCTTTGCAATGGTTGTATCAGACTTCTGCAGAGAGAACACTGCTTTCACACAGAGCAAGGGTTGCCCCCTCTGCGGCAGGCAGGCAGGGGACAAACTTTACTACTCAGACTGTGGCTACTTTAAAGCAAACAACTGAAAGACTTTGCAAACCTTTCAACTGATGTAACTGGAATGTATTTAGATTGAAGGTTTGATTGGACAGAAACAAGCTTTCGACTTTTGCAGTGAACTGGTTTATGACCATATTTTGTATATGGTAAGTTTATAAAAAGTAAGTGAATTAGTGTTTTTGAATACATTTTCTAAATGTACAGATGTCATATTCTGGACCAAAATGTCCAATAACTGATCATCATTTGAATCCATGGAAATGAATAATGAGCAGCTAATAGAATTATAGCCTGGCATGTCGCCAATGGGTCTCCACCTTTCTAGTTTACAGCCTATATTCAGCCTCTACAAACTTGCCATCACCCCACTAGAGGACAGTTGTGATGTTGTCCCATGGATTACCTTCTCCTATATCTATTACCGCCTCCTCTAGTTTACAAAGCCATTTTCTGCAAGGCATGCGACTGAATTTTTAAATCTGTGAACGAGTAGAAGGGTGGGTTGTCATCTGAATTTAATCATAACTGCATATGTAGAGCCAAATGGGCCAGTTTTGCAAGCATCACACCTGTCACAATGAAGTTGAAAAATATACAAAACACTTTGTCACAAACAATATTTTTATACAAGTTCCTCGATGAATTAAAAAATTAGATTGTCAAGTCGTTTGAAAAGCAAAGGGTGTGAAAGAAGATCTGTCAGGCATACTTGTCACATAAGTTTTACTTAATGCTAAATTCTATTTTCTTAAAGAGACCCTTTCACTAGCTCACACCTTCAAATCTGAATCCTTACTGCAACATTCCCACTTACTGCTTTTTCCACTTTAATTTTTTTAATTAATACACCTTTTATTCATTTAGTTGTAAGCTTTCAAAAAGTCATTGAAATCTATATCTTCGTGGGAGTGGTGAATCCTTTTCTTTGCCCGCCCCTCGCTACCCCCCTCCACACCCTCCCATTGGTGGGAGGGCACTCTTATAGGAAATTGTACCATAATGAGGACATACGCTATATGTATATTTGCACATTATTTGTTTGCACAACATTTTAGTTCGGCATTAAGGTACCTATAGACATGAGATGAGCAGCACCCAATCTGGTCACTTTCAGCCAATAATCATGTGATTGTTATCAGAATGCAGCCTATGGTAGTTGGAGTCAGATGATACCTGCATGGCTGACTTCCCTCTAAAGATGGCTGTAGGCAACATTTAGCACACAAGGTTACATTAGCAGCAAAACATCTAGCATTGCTAAAATTAGGACACGGTCGGCACATGGCCAATGTCACTTAGGTGAAGTCAGTGGTCACCTTTTCTCTGGGTCTTTCTGAAGGCACGATGAGATCATCTTTCTAAAAGATTTGCCATATTTCTTCAGCATTTCCTTATCTTGCACACCAGTCTCTAGAGTTGGGGGATCATTTTGAAGCGTCAACATTAAAACCTGGAGAAGAATATTTAAACAAACATAAGCTTGAATTAGCCTTATTCATTAAAAAAGGGCCATTTTGTCATTTATTTATATTTCAATGCATCCCATTTTCCGACTGATTGAAACAAACATTTCTACAGAAAACATGTAAACCCATATTTATGGTAACATCCCACATGGTCAGGACTAGGGAAGGGATATATGCGAGTGCAATAAACAGATGATATGCAGATCACTAGCTCTTGCTATAAGCAAATGCATTGATCCCCTTTTGTAAAAGACTGGAATCCGGTGTTTATAATAAAGGTATTTAGATCTATGCAGGAAGGTGGTTGGATTTAATGAGTGACCCTTTTTAAAAATCTTAGCAGTGCTACTCCTTCTGAGGACAACATTGTGTGATTTTCTTTTTGATTATATGTACACAGCATTATGCCATGGTCTTTTTATAAATACTGCAAGCATTTCTTACTTACTTGCAGGGTCCTGATGCTAGTAAAAATAGCCTTCCATGGCAAAAGCAGAACAGTGT